AATTTGTACTAAGACATCTAGTGTCAAAAATTAGAGATTTTAGCTCATTGATCAGGCTCTTTAAGTTGAGCAACGTGACAAGAGAGAGCGAATCCAAGAAACAGTTGAGAGCTCGGAATTATGCAGTGTGAACTGCAATATGCGGCCAGGGCCAAAGGCACATGCCTACGTGATGCAGATTCTTGCTTGAGTATCCTCACGTTTGAGTCTTTGAAGCACCCACCTAGCCCACAATCAAGAGAGGCGATCCATGTTGCTTCAACGAAACAGTGAGTAACACCCAAACCATAATTTAAACCTCTAAACTCATAAAGAAAGCAACAGTGGCTACTTCTTTAGAGATGAGAAGAGAGAGACGGTTTAGGGAGCCGAAAAGCACATCTCCAGCCTCTAGAAGAGTAAGTTTCTCTGCAAGTAAGGCTGAAACTATGTAGTGGCTGCAAGGAGATAAGTGGCTAACGAATGAGCCGGAGGGGATTTGATTGTGAATCCCTCCTAACTCCAACATCTTCCATCCTTCAAAAAGAGATTTTGATAACACCAAACACTCCATAAAGGAGTAGACATCGCAGTGGCTATCCAATACAACATAAGACAAGTGGTGAATGAGAACTTTGAAATACACCACAACTTTAGTGCAAGAAACATCAAAGAAAGGGAATATACCAAAAGAAAGAAGCTTAATGTCAACAATAAATCTTGAAGTCTCCACAAGTGAAAAGCAATTCAATGGTTCACAATAACGATGGTTTCCAACAAATTCTTTGACTTCTTTGTCCATCTCAGCTCTAGAAGACAATACTTGAGGAGAAATATATCGAACTGAAATTGGTAGGAGTTTCCAGTATTACCTTCACACCGAAGTAAAAGATGACTAACAGGAAGTCTAAGAGCCTCATACCGAGGTAATTTGAGCCTCATACTGAGGTAAGTAAACCCTAAAGAAAGGTAATTTTTGAACAAATGCAGTTCGAGAAACAAGGGGAAGACAAGGCTGAGCAAAGGAGAAACAAGGGTTCATTCTAAGAATGGAGCATGTCTGGACGCTATGCACAACAGAGGAGAAAACCAAGGATACAAGCGATGATTGAGAAGGAGGCGATAGATCCGGAGGGACTGGCGGATCTGGAGGCTCCGGCGGCTTGGGAGCTTCTGCCGGCATCGGACATAACAATCGCCAAAGGAGAGAGAGAGGAAGAAACACACGTCTCACGAGGACTCGGCAGATGGAATGTCAAAGTGGCAATCATCGAGACGGTCTCTGCATCCATGAGAACAGATCTGGAAAGCTGAGTAATGTTGAAAGAAGCAGCAACTAGGCCGAAGCTAGCTCGCCGCCTAAGGTTGTCGAGGCTAAGACAAAGTTTTCTTCCGAAAATCGATGGGATATCCCGAGAAGTGTTGTCGAAATTGTTCAGGAAGAGGAGGAGAGATAAACGGCGAAGATCCGGTGGCTGGACTCTATTCTGCTTCAATGTGGCGGCCTCGGAAATCACTCCTATGAAATTTAGCTTTCATTTATTTATTTACTTGCCATGACTCAGGAGGTGAAGCAGGACAAATTGAAGGATGAAAAAACGTATTTTACAAATCTACAATAAATCTTTTTTTTTGTATGTTTATAGTTAGGAGGTTTAATCCTTCTAGGATGGTTACCTATTAAACAACAGTTTACTCATCAAGTTTTCTAATGCGTTTAAAACGTAACATCATTTCCGCTATGTAAATGAAGT